GGCATTAGGCGAACAAGGCATGTGCTGGCTAACACGTGTCTGTCAAATTGCGATGACTGCGGGAAAGACATCAGCGAACTGGAGAACGGGAGTTATTGTACCCGTATTCAATAAGGGAGACCACAAGCAATGCTCCAATTATAGGGGCATAACGCTATTGAGCCTCCCAGTTAAAGTCTACGCAAAGGTGCTAAGAAAGGAGGTGCCGTGAAATAGTTGACCTCAAGATCCAAGAAGACCAGTGTGGCTTCCGGTCCGGTCGCAACTCTGACCATATATTTGCCCTGCGCCAGATTGTTGAGAAATACGGAGTACGCCCAGCCCGTGTACATGTGTTTTGTGGACATAGAGAAAGAGTATGACCGGATCCCACGCAACAGCCTGTGGAGATGCTTTCGTGCATATGGGATTGATGGCCAGCTGCTAAAGGCCATCCAATGACTGTAATTTTTGATAGCAGGTGCTGTGTCAGAGTTAATGGCGTTAAGTCGAAACCATTCAGTGTTCGCACTGGTCTCCGCCAAGGCTGGGGTGCTGTGTCAGAGTTAATGGCGTTAAGTCGAAACCATTCAGCGTTCGCACTGGTCTCCGCCAAGGCTGCCTCCTGTCGCCTATCCTGTTTGTGTTGCACATGGACAGAATAGTCAGCAGCTGCCAAGGCGGTGAGGGTATCGGAGTAGGAAATGTTAGGTCGAGAAGGTTGCTGTTTGCAGACGACCATGTTTTATTAGCATCTTCTGAAACTGATCTATATTGCCGCGTAGAAGGTTCGCAGCCGAGTGCGACGTGACCGGCATGCGTGTTAACGCATCTAAAACAAAAAACCTAGTGCTTTCTCGTTCTCCTGCCCGTTGCTCTCTTCAGATTAACGGAAAGGCAGTGGAGCAGGTGGAGAAGTTCAAGTACCTCGGAACTGTATCTACTAGTGATGGAAAATTGGGGGAAGAGATCGACCGGCGAACTGGAGTAGCCAGTGGCGTTCTGCGTGAACTAGCCCGACCCACTGTGGAGGAAAGACACCAGCGGACTGGAGAACGGGTGTTGTTGTACCCGTATTTAAGAAGGGAGACCACAAGGAATGCTCCAATTATAGGGGCATAACGTCACTGAGCCTTCAGCTAAAGT